TACTTATGACATTAGGTTGTATCAGAATTGTCCCGAGTTATATGAAACCTTTTAAAGATAAATTAAATTGGATCACATGTTTTGTGATGTCAGAATAGTTCTTTCAGGAGGAAAATCGTACCTAAATATTCGTACAAAACCGTCACTCAGGTACAACTTTGCAACGAGCAACCTAGAACGTTGAAATGGTAGCTTCCGGCATGGGTGCACAATAAACCATGAACAGTGATTTGTCACGGGTGAAAAGCATATGCTTCACAAGTCCTGCAGGATAGTTGGAGTAAAAATTGCAATTTAAAGTATCATCGATTAAGTAACTCATTATTTCAAGCGTCCACCGAGCTGTTTGCACTACTGCAAAACGATAGTTTCAAGTGGGAATGGCATGTGCACACAGAAGAGAGTTTAATGTGCCATTATATTTCAGTAGATGTGCTAGAAAGAAAAGAAACAACTACAACGCTTACTTTTGTGTTGCTTCATTTGACAGATATGCTACGTTAATTCAGTTTAAATACATCCAGACTACGCAGGTGGACACTTCTGCATGTATCCTCACCGCCACTTTGCGGTGAGGGCCGTTAAGCACACGGTTAGGTTTGTGTTATTTCGTCCTCCAAGTGGAACGGCCTATATCAAGAAAGGCAATTTGGAAAGCGTTTCATCAAGGCCTTTGTTGAATAGCGGTAGTGTAGGCGCAAGGATAACGTGAGTCGGAAGGTCATTCTAGACACGGGACACACGCAGGGTAAAATGTTTCGTAGACCATAAAGCCGACTCTAGTGCGTACCCAGTTTGAGCTGATGGCCTCTCAGGTTGCTATTTTGGCTCAGATGCAACAAGTTGCGACATGGGTGTTGGGTTCGCCAGTAATAATTAAACCATGATTAAGACTCCTTGAAAACGTCCATAATCACCACTGTATAATCTCAGGAACTGCAGTCTGCTTTGGCAGAAGAGATGAACCAATTCGCTAAGGAGTTTGGTCGCTTTACGTTGTGGAGCTTCATGCGCATCAACGTCGCGGTTGCGCCTGGGACGCCAAGTCTGGATCGCATATTTCATGAGGGTTCTCAGATAGGCGTCCAGCATTTTCTGGAAGATTGATTGCTCATAATTCCCGAAAGCACTCTGTAAGAGTCTAACATGTTAATTGGCTCCTTTTGATGCCTTTTCAGCCCGTCTCGAGCAACTAATTTCGTACCGCAAGATCAGCCTGAGGTCGTTTGCTGGGAATCACTTTGTAACTGACAGTCCCTAAGTTGATATTCATAGATAAGCTGATGGCGTATGCTTACGACTTTGCACCTGGTCATGTTGAACTGAAGCCACTTGTCGGATGACCACGCATAGCTTCTGTGGAGATTGCTCTGCCATGCCATTTGATCATCCGCTGCCCTGAGTTCACGCCCAATTATGACGTCATTTGCAATTAGTAAGCAATTCGACTGCAGTACACTGGCAAGATGGCCAATGAATGTTAGGAATAAACGTGGCCTCAGTACCGATTCGTGTGGAACGCTAAACTGGACGTCCATTAGGTGGGAAAAGGAAAGCTGCGGACTCTCACGTTCAGCTGACGTTCAGCGAGGAATTTGGCGATCCAACCGAGTATAAGGTCATTGATTCCATGGCTTCGACGCTTGTGAAGGAGAACGCGGTGGTGCAAACGATGGAGGGCTTTCGCTAAGTCCAGGTAAACAACGTCGACTCCCACTCTGGCATCGGCTAACTCTGTCCAGCTTGCTTGTGCTAGCAGCAAGTTTGCATTGCATGATCGATTTCGGCGGAGTCCGTGTTACTATGATACTAGGATGTCGTTGATCCCAAAATATCCCAAGAGCACCTCTGCAATTATACGTTTCATTACTTTGGATAAAACTGGGAGGAGAGTAATTGGACGGTAGTTCGAGGGCTCCGAACAATTACCACTTGTGTACATGGGAGTGGCTAGTCCATATACCCACATTGTGGGAACCTGCTTTTTGTCGAGACAAGGTTGAATGAACTGAAATAATGGTTCGGTAAGTTTCATCGCCGCTGTCTTCAATACCTTCGGTCTGATGTCGTCCACGCCAGATGAGCTATGCACGCGCAATGACTTTAGCATTTTTAGCAAATTGACTGCCGTGAACGATACCTGGTTTGAATTCGGTGGCGATGGAAGCTGTGTCAAAAGCGCATGAAGGGATTTTTCACTCGGGAAAGTATGGACGAAATCGCCAACCACGTTGGTTGCATCGTGTGCGGTTTGCGCTAAACCATCAGTTAAACTTAAAAATTGAGATCCCGCGCTGCACTCTGCAGAGCTTGTTGACGTGCTTATACAGCAACTTGAGATTTGTATTGAATATGGCCAATAAGTTTTGTTGATGCTGAAGTTTGTCTTCGCGGATCAGCTTGACGCAGTGGTTTCGTTGAGTTGTGTAAGCACCCCAGGTCAGGTTTGGCAAACTTTGGTATAGAGTTGATGGAAAGTTTTTCTGATGCTGCTCCGAAAATAATCAATCCATTTCCAACGGCGTACTATCGTTCTGCATAGTGATTGGGTGGTATCCACTTGTCCGTGTTACGCAACGTTTAATACCGTCTACTAGTAGTAGTTGACGATTTTAGTGGAACTTATACTCGCGAAAACTAAACATGGCTAATGAGAATGGTGTGCTATTTATTGGAATCACAAGCGCACAGCCACACAAGTTTTGAAATTTATGTCACAAGCTAACCGAACGTCGCAGTACCTAGCCACTGTTAGATTGTTGACCCATTCTATATATGCTCGATATTATGCGGTTTCTCATTGTGCTTCCTTTTTAGCTTAAAGATGAACCCGCTTATGAAACGCTTGCGGTAAGCGAAAACAAGCGCGTCTTATCATCTCCAATTGTCAAAACTCTATCTACGTCATTTTCGGTTATAAATCTCACTGTATATCATAAGCTGTAAATTAGAGGGACTGAGTTGTTACCTTAAGTTGGTATGTATACAGTCGGTTGATTCCAAAGTGAAACAGCAAAATTCTATTTAAACTTTACTTCAGTTGAACAATGAACAATTATGAATCAAGGGTAAAAAAAACAGGTGCTTGACGACTGGAGTGAAAGATATAAAAAACAAAGGATAAGAGATTCTTCAGTATGAGCGTCTATCGATTTAACTGCGCTGTTGCATAGCGATAGTTTGAAATGGCAATTGAACGTACTCACACAAAGTAGTATGAAAAGTAGTTATATTTCAGCTAATTCGTAAAGAAAAAGAAAACCGTAAATCACAATGCTCACTCGTGTGCCACTTCCTTGGATTTAGGTGGTAAATAGAGCCAGTTTCAACAGTAGCATCATTTATTAAATAAAGTTCAGCAAGTGCAAATGAGAATGTAGTTTGTTAGTGTTAGGTTGATGCCCGGACATAGAGGGTTATATGGCGTAAAGTTAATACATGCATGTAGCATCGCGACATCTTGTTAGTACTCTCAATAAGGGGGAAAGAAGAACGTAAGCACTGAGAGCGTTCCAAGGTTGACACACACGAACTGAAAAGAAATTCCGGCGGCTTCCCAATTGGCTATACTACGTGACGAGGTTTGGTTATTGTCGTCTCAGTGTGGTATTGTGATTTAACTTGAGAATATAACGACAAGTATGGCTTGAATTCTTCAGGATCAAATAAGTCATAATCAAATAGCCGCGCAGGCGGCGACGTCGTTCAATGTAGACTATAAATTTCTCAGCGTCGCTTGGTAATGTGGTTGCTTGTAGCAACCCAACCACACAGCAGATTCTCTAAGTACAACTTTGAATTCGTTTCCGCTGTGCCAAGCGGATCACAATGGCATAGTAATTATGGCGTCAGCAGTGAACCCCTAGGCTCTGGTTTCCATCAGAGCTCAGGCTGTCTCCACCTGATGAGTCCAAACCAGGAAGAAACCGCGGTCTTGGGGTGTCAGTGTTGGGATGAGCAACACCAAAATATTTCGCATACAGTCCTTGTGATCGGAATGATCCACGTCCACCTCAAGTGAACCGAGGTCTCATTAGATGTTGCTTGTAGCAATCCAACCACACAGCGTATCCTCAAAATCCAGCTCTGTGTTGCTTGGTTTCTCGGATGCCTTCTTTGTCCTAGGTGAACAGTCAAGATCCTTTATCATGTCACATTTAGGTCACATTCAGTAGAAGCGTGCTGCAATATTTGATTTCCCAGGCTGTATCCTCTAGTGAATTTACGGCATATGTTCATCGTCTTACACTTGGTGGCGTTGCAATGAAGTAGGTATTGGTTAGCCAAGTTGCACATCCTACCAAACTCATTTTGAAGCGCTACTCGATAACCCGCTGTTCTGATGGTCCACCATATCTTGACATCCTCAGTGAACAGTAAGAAACCGTAAGTGAGCACTCTCGTGACACTGTTTATGTAAATCAGAAATAGGCGTGGACCAAGTTTTGTAGCACAGCCCTGAACATCGACAGCGTCACAGATGGCGCTGAGAACAACCACATTCAAATGTCATCGACTCGGAGAGTTATTTATCCAACCGATAACAGGATTACCAGTACAACAGCCCTGAGGCTTGTGAACGAGGATGTAGTAGTCCAGTTGGTTAAACCCCTTTGAGTAAACCAGCTAAACTGTATCTGTGCCCACCTCAGTGTTAACGATTTCAGTCCAACCGGAGAGAGCAAGTAGCAAATTGGTGATGCAAAACCGTTTATGACGGAATCCGTGTTGTGCTGGGGCAAGGATATTGCATCCTTTCAAGTAATTCATAAGAGCTTCAGCAACAATAAGCTCCATGGAATTAGATGACTCCAGAAGGAATGTTATCGGGCGACAATTGGACGGATCAGCGTGACTTCTCCCTTGTGAATGAGCGTGATGATTCCGCACTTCCAATTGTTAAAACACGCACCATTCAACTTACATTTACCAAATCATGAGCTACATTTGATGCTGTTAAGGAAGAAACACAAGAATCATAGGTGCGAAACACGAGGGGTATGCGTTCAAGCGCCAACGTAAGGGTAACCACAAATTCAAGGTAATCTAGCATAATTTGAATGAGCCCCGAACAGTTCTTGCCAAGAAAGTACCGATGGCCAAACACAGCAGTAACTTGTAGATACTTTCCCTGTCGGCCGGTAGCCGAGTGGTCTGCGCACCTGGTTTGCAACCAAAAGCACACTGATTCGGATCCGCGTAGGGGTGGGCGTGCTCACGGTATACTCAGTCCACGCGCATCTGGTGTGTGGTTGTGTGGCAACGAAGCGCCATTGCAGCGTGCAGCTGACGATTCGTACATTCGAAATATTTTCATTCTTCCTCTTGTATGTAATATTTTCACCACAAATTGGACGTTTTGCAAAACCTTTATTGGTTTGCAAACTAATATGAAGTTATTGCAAAACAAAATGAACATTTCATAAGCCGAATTGGACACAAAGCATTCTAAGCAGAAAATTAACAATTTGCTAGCGAAAAATTAGGAGTAAGGCGGCAAGACGATTTTCGAACTACATTGCAGTCATGTTAATGCAACCGAATGGTACGAACAGCGGGTGCCACTGCAAACCATTCGCTGGATCCTGAACCTCAATCTCTTTTATCAAAGTCTGTGATTAAATTACCCCTTCCTCCACATCGGCTTTCGTGCTTTTATGTGCCTGTGTCTTTATGCATGAACATGCGTAGCTGTGTGACCAGACTCCGGAATCGCGCAGTCTAATATGACTTAAAAACATGTAATTTCGCAATTGTGGTTCATTGTGAAGCACTCGTCTTTTGAGTGCAATGTGATGCGAAATCTCAGTGTGAACCGCCATTCCCACTGAAGTAGACTTTGGACAGTTCGATCATGTGGACCACAGCTGATGTAACGGGTAGGCGGGGACCCAGTAGTCCCCTGTCACTCTATGCGCCTTCGCATATTTTGCGCAGTTTTGCGGGTGAACCTATGCAGCTACCGCAGCAGTGTAGGCTATCATGACTCCACCCAGCCCAGTCTAGCTGGACTGGTGTATTGTTGCAGTCTTTTGTCAAAACGAGGGAACAAGGCGATTAGACGGTGTTCCGGCCACAACAGAACCATGCAAACGGTGGACGATTGTCGTTCGTTGCGCCTTTTACTCGTTTCGTGCAGTAAAAGGCTAATAAACTTAGGCCTTGTTGGGCGGAGTCATGATTGCCTACACCGCTCTAAGAGTTCAATAGCAACATAGGTTCGCCCACACACGCACACAAAGTTCGCGAAGGCCCATAGAGGGACAGAGGAATCGGGGTCACTGGAGTTGATGGAGATGCACGAGGCCCGTGATCAAGTGAAGGGCTTGAACAATCGTCCACTGTTCGCACATTTCTGTTGCATTTGCATAAGCACTATGTGGCCGAACATCTCCAGCCGCCTTACTCCCCTTTCTTTGGTGAGAGACTGCGGTAGTAGACCAGGAAAGCTGAAGTGGGCTTGGTGAAGTCATGTTAGCTTACAACACGTCGAACATTCTGGAACCGCAATATGCGCCAAGGTTTCATTGCATCCCGTGGACTCCTAAAGTGTAGGAAACTATGGTGCCCACATCGGGACTCGCTCACATAAATTTTACTGCAGACACCTGGATGAGAAAGCTGCGGTCCTTGCGTCTACAAGCTTGTCCAGCAATTGCCGACATCTGCCGAAGACGCCAGTGGTGGTAGCTGAAGTTTTAGCTGAACACTTGACGCGGCTCTTCCAATACAGCCTTGAGGAGAGACACGTTCATGCGATAGGGAAACACAGGATAATAACCCGCCTATACAAAGGGGGTAGTCGTTCCGATCCAGCTACTTATCTACCAGAGACTTTTCTGTCATTTCTTACAAAAGCTATGCAGGCTATGAATGCCGATGCCCTCATGTCTTATCTGGAGGGCCTTGGTCCCTTCACTCAGCAGCAAAAAGGCTTCTGCCAGAGTCGGTCGCACACAACCAATCTATTGTTAGCACGAGACAGTTGGACTGAAACGGCGGATGGTGGTGCAAGATTTGATGCGTATGCCTTGATTTCGCTAAGACATTCGGCCATTTGGACTATTGTATCCTTCTTGCCAAACTTCAAAGAAGTGGCATTGGGGACACTCTCCGCGGGTGGATCTGTAATTTGCTCTTGCACAGGCGTCTTGAAGTGAGAGTACGTGAATCCAAGTCATACCCAATCCACGTCGAATGCGGAGTGCCACACGATTCGGTACTTAGGCCCCGGCTATCTTTGGTCTTCAAACACAAGCTTATGAGCAAAAGGAAGTCAAACTTTTACTCTACGCCGATAGCAGCAAAGCTTTTGAGTGAACAGAGCTGCTGTAGATTGTATCCACCTACAAAACGACCTTGACTCGTTTATGGACGGTCCGTCCACACATATAAGCTAAACGGACCAGGATCTGCAACACTTCTCTCGAAAAGGATCTCAAAGTGTTGGCCCAGCATGGTCTCGGCTGCTCAGAGTAATCCAAAAAGGCATTCAAGAAGTGGATCCCACTCGTGGGGTTTTAACCGAGAGTTTTCGGGCAATACGAACGGTTGGTTTCCCACCAAATACCTCCGGCTGCTATACGCCCACATCTTGGATAAGCAATCCAAGCATCGCACCTATGGCTAAAGCGGAATTTCCTGGCCTTGGAGATTCCTCAACGTCTGGCGACAAAAAATCTCAGGGGTCTGCACCACTTGTCATACGAACAGCACCTCTGAGTGTTTGGCATTTTTAGCGGACGTTATTGCCGTTTGCGTGGTGACCTACTCATGGCTTACCAAATATTAAACAACACTAATCATCCCTGCCATCACTTATTGAAGCTGAGTCACAACAGCCAACTTAGTGGTTACCATCTGAAATTGGCCGAACAATACAGACGGTTGGGATGTCCAAGCAACTTCTCCTTGCTGCGTGTTTGCCACACGCGAAATACCCTCTCAGGAGCTGTTATTTCAGCCCCCAGGTTAGCTGTGTTTAAAACACGTGTTGATAGTGCACGGATGGTACTACACCATATCACGTAATCCAAACGACCCAGAATAACAACAGCAAAACAAAAGCAAATCAATCTACCTTTCTTTTTACCCGGAAACCACAAACGGTAATCTTGGATAATACAGAAAACTGTGTGAACTGCGCAGACGGGAACACTGTAACTGACGAGTTCGCAATTTGCGACTTTGCACTATTTCCTATTGCTATTTTTGCCTGTATTTTGCTCACTCCTCAATGATCATCCGTCGAGACATATCAATACTCGGCATTTTTCTCCGCAACAAACCATTAACTACTGACCATTGATCAGGGGTGTACAAACAGTTTACAAGGAGGGACACATTTTGTGAGGTATAATATATGCCCGGCCATATAGTGCCTGACATTAAGATACTAACAAACATTACGCATGCACGATAACGGTCCAAGCCTGAATTTATTTTTTCATGATGAGGTCGCATGCCAGTAGAAATGTCAACGCGGGCCGCATTTGGTCCGAGGGCCGGATTCCGGACATCACTGACCTACACTGTTCTAATGGTCCAGCACACCATAGAACACACACCTACACAAAATACGGGAATGACTACTAGGGCAACGTCTGTCCGCTACATCAGCTATGGTCTCAGTGACCAATTTGGCCAAAGTTTACTTCAGTGGAAAGCGCTGTCCATTAACATGTATTTTCGGCAAATTCATGCATGGTGCAAACCTGGACATTACATATATTCACCGAGATTGGACAAATGTTCTGGCGTACTATTGAAATAGCAATTATATAAAAAGTAAAATGCGATCGGAATCGCTCGTGAGTGAGTGTATGTGGTGAGTGTATGTGGTCAATGTGAGATCTTTTGTGACATTGCGCCCCGCATGTAGACGTCGTACACTTTAGGGAATGCTCTCATTGTAGACACACACAAGTCGGATAGGTCGAGTTTGGTGAGCCATAGTGCCGAAACCTGCCTGGCGGAGGCTGGGAATATATGGTACCGGTTGTTACTGATTATCAGGTAATGCATCACATTTAATGTTGGAGAAAATTCCGAACGCACAAAGCGGGCTATGGCTTCCGCACTTGCACTTTCACCGTATTTGTCAAATTTTGGTTGATAGCTACGGGTCATTCTGTAGGTGTCGCATGCTCTCACCGCCGGTACGTCTGCAGTAGGGTTCTTAATGGCGATTAAATCCGGCTTGGTGTACGTTGATGCTGATCGAATTCGGGTCCCGGGATGATTTGGGCTCCTTTGCGACGAAGGATGTTGCTTTGTTACTTCCAGATATTGTTGTGCCTCTGCAAGCGCTTATCCGGGGTTATGCACCAGACTACAGTAGGTAAGCCAGTGTTTCGTTTAGTTCACCAACGCTCCAGCAGTGATGATCGGTTGGATTCGGGGGTGGCCCTCAACTGGAGTATGAAGATTTTGTCAACAGCATCTCTGTTCGAAGTTGGTTATTTCTGTTTCAGCATCTGACGAAAATGTTCTCGAGGTGTATTATCCAGTTTGAGAAGTTGGAGTTGTAATTATCCCCCGAAGTAAGGATCCGTCCACTTTTGTCAAAGCCAACTTGATTCCGAAAGTTTTCGGATTTCATGGCAAAATAGTCGCTGAAGCTTCCCCGTACTGCCCGCCTGATGATTGTGTGGGAGAGTGAAAATGAGGTTCCAGGTGGTACCTTCGAAGCAATGAGATCATACTAGGAATACACCGAACCCAAGGCCATAATCCTCAATTGATGCGTGAAAGAAAGCGACACCGGTTTCCTTGAGGAGTCCTAGCTATCTTCTTATATTCGCCTGCACCAATCTATTCATCTATTTGAGAGTCTGCCAGTGTACCATGACCAATGACAGGCAATGTATGGCGCAGGTAAAATATAGGTGCGCAAGATGTTCCTGCTTTAATACGGCTTGATGCGTTTGAGGTCTTTTCTGTAGCTGTGCTTTGAGTTAGTCTAGCGAGTTCGACGGCTATTTAGCGTTGCAATCAATTGTCAATCCAAGTAGCCGGAATTCCT